CTTATGCAAATCAAACCATTATAATAAAATTTAATAGAAAATTTTCCAAAAGAAATTTTACTTAAGAATTTTTATTATAATCATAATGAAAATAATGTAGCTGAAAGCACTGGTGGTACAAATTTGAATGCAAAATTACAAGAAGAACTATAATCTTAAGGAACTAATGGATAAAAATCAAAGAGACTCAATAAAATTGATGATGAAAATACAAATTATGTTAACGAATAAAAAGCCTTCCTATTAAATTAATTAAGATTATAAACAGAGAATGAAATAAAAAGAAAATCTGCATTATGAATATTAAATATTAGATTTATTTTTATGCTTTTTACTTTAATAAATGTACTTTCACAATCATTATTATTATCTTCTTTATCCTCTTCTTGGTTATTTTTATTATTTTTCTTCGACAACAGGCTCATCAATGGGAATGTCAATTTCCAAACCAGCTTTTTCAAGCATTCTTTTAACATCTTGATCTCCTCTAAGATTGTCAATGTCAATAGATGATTTTTCAGGGACATAGTCCAATCTTCTCTCTCTTTCTTCTTCTTAAATCTATTGTTTGAAATGTGACCAATACTTTGAGTGAGATACCCTTAACTGATCCAGTTTAGATTCTCTTCAAAAGATGTGTTGCAAATCCAGCAATTTTATTTCTCAATTTTTTTGATGGTACTTATCCAACTTCTGAGAGAATCTTTTTATTGAAATGAAAATCTGAAGTGAGTTTCATGTAGTATTTTTCAATGAGGACTTTAGCTGCCTTCTTAACTGTCTTATTTCTAACTCTTCCCATGAATTAATTTGAAAAAAATTTATATCTTTAATTTATGAAAATAAATCACAGCAAAACAATAAAAATGCATTTAATACATAAATTCTTAATTCTTTTTTACAATTTACTTTAAATTTATACATTATTATTATCCTTATACACATAATAATCCATTTATTAGTTAAAGTGATAAATATTTTAATTTCTATATATTTATTAATGTTAATAGTCTAGGTGAGAACACCAAAAATAAAGATGTCAACACATCGTGCATAAAATAGTTAACCAATAATGTTCAATTAGAGTAATCTAAATAGTTTCCATCAATTTTTTCAAAATTAATCAAGAAGTTTATAAAAAGATGAAGGTACAAATAATAGTAGATCCAAAACTGAATTAATATAAATTGAATTAAAAGCTAATCATGCTCATAAAATATCAAGTTTATCAACAACAATTAGTTTAACCAACAGCACTAGTTATAATTAAAGATTATCAAAAAAAAATTAAAAATCTAACAGTAGTAATAAAATAATAGAAAAAATATTACCTAAATCTGTAAATCCATTTTAAGAAGATGAATGCACAGTTAACCAAAAATTATAATCTTAATTATAGAAATTATTAATCAAAACTAAAGATATCATCAATTCTTATGAAATTAATTCAAAAAAGCAATAAATAACAGAATAATAATTAAAGTAACAAATTGTGCAACTAAAAAAGATAATAGAAAATTAGCAAACACAACTTAAAAAACATAATATTAGATTTTGAAAATCTTTATTTCAGACGGATATTTTCCTTTATTTACTAAATGATTTTGTTCTATATAAGCTATATAATAAATTAACAAATTACTCAAAAATGACAAATATATTTTGATAGAAATTCTGATAATTCTTTAGAATGCATTTCTAAATTTATAATTAATGTTAATTGAATACAAGCATTAAAATAAGTAATATTTAAAAACTCGAAGATCTTATAATTATATATGCGCAAATCTAAATTTTAGATAGTGAAATCTACATAAAAATGAATGAAGGAAAATTTATATAACTTTTTTTTTGTAACTAATATCTCCAAAAAGAAATAAATTTATAGAATAAAATTATTTTCATCTTAATCTAATTATATTTTAATCTATCAATAAAATCAATACCTAGATATTTTCATGATATAGTACCAATAATAGAATAATTATTATCTTCTTTGAATTATTTAGTATCTTAACAAATTTTTTCTAAATAATTTGATTCGACCAAGTTATAATCTATTAATATTTGTAATCATCATTAAGGCTTGTTATATAATTAGTAAATTGTTGAAGTAATAGATATATATACTATTTTACTTAAAAATTAACTAAATAGATTTTCAATATATAATTAGTATGGTAATGAGTTTTATTATATAAAATTATAATAGTTATCATCATTTATTTAATAATAATTTAGCATCATCCATACTGGTTGTTAGATATTCAAATCTCTTTTATTTTTCAGTAAACCAATTTGGTATTAATCTATTTTAATTAATTTAATATTCATCTAACTATAACTCTTCTAGAAATTGTATTAAATAATAATACCTTTTGTAAAATTAAATAAATTAGGTAGAGATTTTGAATTAATTTTAATATTTGGTTGTTTCAATTCTTAAAAGAAAGGATGTAATAAAATTTCAAAAGCAGATATTCTTTAATTAGGATCATAAACAAATATTTTCTCTAACAAATCAACCAATTATTCATTTTCTATTTCTTAGAATCGTTTAGCCATAGGAAATTTAGGTATTTCAGGCATTTTAAGATCTAATATTTAAGATTTTAGATTTTTCATTTCTTAAAGAGTAGGTGTTCCAAGCAATCTAATAATGTCAGCCATAGTTTCAACAGTATTAGTTCCATTAAATAATTATTTGCCCAAAAAACATTCTGCAATAATACAACCCAAACTCCAAATATCAACTTATTAATTATATAATTTAGAGCCTAATAATAATTCTGGTGCTCTATAATTTCGTTCACCAACATAATTTGGAGAAGGAATCTAAGAGAATAATGATTTTGCACTATTAAAATCACAGAGTTAGACACTTAATGTATCAACATCAATTAAAATATTTCTAGGATTAAGATCTCTATGAGTAATGTTCTTGTGATGTAAATATGATACTGCTCTTACTATTTAATAAATAAATAATTTAAATAAGATTTATTTTGCTTTTTTCTCTTATTTAGTTAGATTGATTAATTTAGGATCTGCAACTTTAATGTTTTCTTAAACATTAGAATGTTTATAAAATTGTTATAAAAAGGATCTTAAATTACAACTCATTAATGGCATAATTTCATATAACATAGGTCTATTATCCTATATAATTAAAGAGATCTTACATTAGATTTATCATAAACTACATAATGATGTTTGAGTTCAATTATGTTAGGATGTCTCAATTATTTNTATCTTAACAAATTTTTTCTAAATAATTTGATTCGACCAAGTTATAATCTATTAATATTTGTAATCATCATTAAGGCTTGTTATATAATTAGTAAATTGTTGAAGTAATAGATATATATACTATTTTACTTAAAAATTAACTAAATAGATTTTCAATATATAATTAGTATGGTAATGAGTTTTATTATATAAAATTATAATAGTTATCATCATTTATTTAATAATAATTTAGCATCATCCATACTGGTTGTTAGATATTCAAATCTCTTTTATTTTTCAGTAAACCAATTTGGTATTAATCTATTTTAATTAATTTAATATTCATCTAACTATAACTCTTCTAGAAATTGTATTAAATAATAATACCTTTTGTAAAATTAAATAAATTAGGTAGAGATTTTGAATTAATTTTAATATTTGGTTGTTTCAATTCTTAAAAGAAAGGATGTAATAAAATTTCAAAAGCAGATATTCTTTAATTAGGATCATAAACAAATATTTTCTCTAACAAATCAACCAATTATTCATTTTCTATTTCTTAGAATCGTTTAGCCATAGGAAATTTAGGTATTTCAGGCATTTTAAGATCTAATATTTAAGATTTTAGATTTTTCATTTCTTAAAGAGTAGGTGTTCCAAGCAATCTAATAATGTCAGCCATAGTTTCAACAGTATTAGTTCCATTAAATAATTATTTGCCCAAAAAACATTCTGCAATAATACAACCCAAACTCCAAATATCAACTTATTAATTATATAATTTAGAGCCTAATAATAATTCTGGTGCTCTATAATTTCGTTCACCAACATAATTTGGAGAAGGAATCTAAGAGAATAATGATTTTGCACTATTAAAATCACAGAGTTAGACACTTAATGTATCAACATCAATTAAAATATTTCTAGGATTAAGATCTCTATGAGTAATGTTCTTGTGATGTAAATATGATACTGCTCTTACTATTTAATAAATAAATAATTTAAATAAGATTTATTTTGCTTTTTTCTCTTATTTAGTTAGATTGATTAATTTAGGATCTGCAACTTTAATGTTTTCTTAAACATTAGAATGTTTATAAAATTGTTATAAAAAGGATCTTAAATTACAACTCATTAATGGCATAATTTCATATAACATAGGTCTATTATCCTATATAATTAAAGAGATCTTACATTAGATTTATCATAAACTACATAATGATGTTTGAGTTCAATTATGTTAGGATGTCTCAATTATTTAAGATAATAGATTTCTTTAGTACATTTATTCATGTTAATTTTACTTATTTTAAGAGCATAATAATTGAAATGACCTTCAATTAAAATTCTATAGACTTGAGTATTGTTTCCATCATAAAGAACTCCTTTTTTAGTAATACTACTTTCAGATATGACACTTTGAGTACTCTAATTATATTTTAAATTTTATCCACTAGATTTCATTTTATAATCAACGGATGATGATAATTAACTATTACTATTAATAATTTATTTTGTTGTCTTATCTACTGATTTTGATAGTGTTTTTTTCATTTTTGATTATTTCATTTAAGTATAATTCTTTTTATATTGTTGATATTCAAAAAGTGTCTTATGAACAGGATCAGTGTATTTAATTAATTTTGTTGTATCAATAAATGGTTTAGTATTTTCAACAGAAGCTAATTGAGGTTGAAATCTAGAATTTCTTTTAAAGAGACTTATTTAATTATCAGGAAACATTATTAAAATATATATATATATAAAAATTAATGTAATAAACTAATGTACATCCATAAGTGCTATTAAGCATTTCTTCATAAATTTTAACAAATAAAGTTAATTTCCCAGGTAAAACAATTCATGCTGGTATATTATTGGGATTTTATAATGCTAAAATAAATAAGACAGATATTTTAGATTCATTTGAGATAAGTTATTCAGGTAAAGGTGAATTAACACCAGGAGAGATTGATTTTTTAAAGGAAAGATAATAATTAAGATTAAAAGGTGATAAATGGAATCTCTTTAAGAATTTGGATATTGTAGGTTAATTTAATAATTACTATTGTAGGTTGGTATATTACAGATAGTAATCCACATAATTATTTGAAATTACATAAGTAATTACAAACTTTAAGTGAAGCTGAAATAACAGAAAATTAAACATCATTCTTTAAATATTTATTATGCTTTGATCCACTTAGTACTTAAACATCTTTGTTTGAATTAGAAGAGAATAAAATGTAAGTATCTTAAAGTAAAATTGAACCTCAATCAGAAGAGATGATTGGTATTACATCTTTATTTTCTTAACAAAAATCATAATCAAATAAAAAGTATGATTTAAGAGTTAATTCATAACTTTAAATGATTACTTTTTTAGAAGTATATTATTTTATATATTTAATTTAATAGAAAATGTTATAAAAATTATTATAATAATTAGATGATCCATAAATTGCAAATGATCCTTTGGCTTTATTAAAGATTAATGAGGTCTTGATTTCATTTCCTCAAATTAATCAATAAAATATTGAAGAAGACTATTTTAAGCTTTTAATAATCAGTTATTATTGTGCAATTTTAAAGTTAGATGTAACAAAAAATAAACAATAGGATTGATAAAGTAATTAGAATAAAAATTATATACAAATCAATAAAACAAGTTAAGTTAAAATATTAAGTCTGATATCTCTTCTTTTTTATTTATATGAGTGTAATCAAACATAATGTTTATGTATTAAATAGCAAAATCTTATTGTTTAACTGTTTCTAGTCTAAATTTCTTAAATAATTTATTAGATCTTTCATCTATCTTTTACTTTACTTCTTCTACTTTATTACTTTATTCAACCATATTCAAATAACTTGAATGTTATACATTAGTAATATATTCCCATTTATTATTTTCATAATTAAAAAATGTAGTTTCATCTTGATTTTAAATTGATAAGTAATTTGCTTTTAAAGAAGATGTATAATTTGTTTTGCATTAAGAAGATTAGATATTTGATGATTTAGTGTAATTTTCATCATCCTCTTCTAATAATAATTTTGATAGAGTATTATTTGATACTTTATCTTGAATTATTTATTCTTTTAAATATTGTTTTGTAACTTTGAATTATTCTTTTAACATCATAGATAATTATGATTCAATATATTCAAAAATTTATGGATATATATAATGAATAAGTATTTACTCATTTAATTACTAATTTAAAAATCTATTATTATTAACATACTATATAATATCTTCAAGATTTTTATTACATCCTATATCAAATTATTCATATAATAATTCTAATAGTTAATTTAGAAAAATTTTGAATCCCTTTGAATGAATAAGTCCAATATTTCCAGAATATTCTAATTAATGTTCATTAATTGATATCTCAATAAAATCATTGAAATATTAATTTAATTCATCATTTTTTATATTATATAACAAGTCCCTTATTTAAAGTTTATTTATATAGGGTTGAATATTGTTTCCCCATATTTTATACATGAATTGCTAGAAAGTAAAATTAAATGGAATCTTTTAAAATTTGTCATTATTAATGAAATCAAAAGAGAAAATATTGCTCAAGACATCAACATTTTATTTATATTATTTCCAAAGTAAAGAATAAAAGTACATATAATATTTTGGACTTATTCTGGATAAAAATAATCTAACCTTCTTACAATAAATGTCAGTTGCATTAAATAAGTTAAGAATTTGACAATTATTGCTATTATTATTGAAATCATCAATTTCAATATATTTTCTAAGCTCTTCAAAATTTAAAAATCTGAAACTAATACAAAAAAGTTAATATAACTTATCATTCTAAATGTTAGAGTGATCTAATTTTTATACTTACTAGAATTTAATTCTTTGAGCTTATTAAATTGCTTCTTCCTTTATATTATTAAGGAGTATATTATAAATTAATTAACATTCTTTTGGTATTTTATCTTTAATAAGCTTTGTACGAATTGAATGCAATTCAATTGCAAGTTAGTCAGGTAGTTTTTATTTACTCACTCTTAAATATAATGAATAAAGATTCTTAATTTCTATTTCATCTTTTTTACAAGCTGCTCCCATTATAGTATAAATTTGTTATGAAATTATATATTTATAGAGTGAATCAAATTCCTTAAGTTAATTTATTTATAGAATAGTCCATAAATTATAATTAGATTGTAAAAATTTTATTCTCTTATTTTGAAGATTTGGAATGAATTATTAAAATATTTAATAAACTCATAGTAGATTCAAAGAATTTAGAAAAATAATATATATGAATAAAATATCATTAATTTAATAGGGTTTTGTAATTAATTCAATTAAATTGTTAACGACAAGGCTAAGTCGGCAAAACTTATTATTATGAATAAATAAATAAGAATTAAATCTTAATTTAATTATATATTTACTTATAAATGACATGTGATGTATGATCATCTAATTGTAATAAAATTGACAATTAAATGTTCCTATGAATTGTTCAACTATTATAATATAATTTAATAGAGATGTTAGCAAGAATTATTGGATTTTTGATCAACATTTTGAGTTACCTACCTGTCTACATATACAATTTATTGTACAGTAGATTCTATACAAAGTATAATAACATTTAATAACTAGGTGGACTTACGTAATGATGTGCGATAGATTAGAAAAAAAGATGCCAAATGTTAAACGAATTCTAGATGTTGGAGTAGGTACAGGACATCCCATGAAACAAATTATTAATAGGATTCCTTCAAGAATTCGAGTAGTTGGAATAGACATCGATACTAATTATTTAAGGTAAATTATATAATCATGAATCCTAGATATGCAAAACAAACTTTCAAATAAAATGATAATGTAGAAATAAGAGAATAAAACTTTTATGATTTAGAAAACTCAAAAGAACAATATGAGGCTGTGATCTTTTCTTCATCATTCATGATAATGCCAGACAGAATAAAAGCATTAAGAATTGCAAAACAAAGATTGAGTAAAGGAGGTTCTATCTTTTTTTTATTGACTCTGGAACCATATAAAAACTATAAAACAGTGATAATTGAAAAAATCAAGCCTTACTTAAAATATATCACAACTATTGAATTTGGAAGTATTACATATGAAAAGGATTTTGAACTCATGCTTAGAGAAGAAGGATTATAAATTACATCTAAAGAAAAGGTTGCTAAATATAGTGTATTTTTGGCAATATTTAATATGTTTGTTGTAGAGGCAGAAGTAATATGAATTATACATATATTTTATAAATATGAATTTTTTTGTTTGAATATACATTTAATTGTCTAAACTATACCATATGATCATTGATATTAATATAATTATATATTAAAAATCAATAATAATAATAATAATGATTTATATAGATGTTTATTATAAATGATATTTATAAATCATTTCTTTCTATAAATTGTTATCTCTTATTATTTAAAATATCTTCTATCATCTTCATCTACTAAAATCAAATTCAAAATGTATTTGACACTAAATTTACCATTTACATTTTTAACAGATGGTGTTATATCAACACCACTTAAATATAATCTAATTGGAATGACTTCTCCTTTTTAAGGACAACCATCCATCAATTCATATTTTACAAGTGTCTCATTATCTGTTTATTGTTATTAACCTTAACCATATTATTCTTTTCTGATTACTGCCAATTCCATATATTTTATTTTGATTTTAACCAAATAAAAATTTACTTTTCCTGTTACAACATCTCTCAAATGAAATTTACTTTTGAAATATTCAAAATCAATATGCAAACATTCTTCAATACCAACCTATTTAATAATTAATATATACTTCTAATTTTAATGATGTTTAAGGTTATTCTTCTATTTCTGGTTAAGGAATTAAAACAGCAAAATCAATTTCTTTTTATACTTTACCATAACTTCTAGTCATATAAATCTTTAAGTAATATCTTAATCTCACTGTATTGCCATAATAACTTTCATTTTGCTTTTCAAACTTCTAAAATTAAAATTTATATGCTTTGTCTTCAAATAGAATTCCTTAAGGTTCTAATTCTCTAGACATTGACATAAAATCTGAACTCTGTTTTTAATCATTAATAATTTCTTGTTTATTTATTATTTATTTTTACCTATACGTCCAATCAATTCAATTCTTATACCTAAATGTTCTATTTTCTTTTATTTATTCATTTTTACTTCTACTACACCTGATATATCATCATCACCCTAATAATTTAATAATCTAATTACAGTGTAAACTGGTAATCTCAATGCACCTAATTATTTATCAACAAATCTTGTGTGTTTACGTGTCTCTATTCCATCTAATGTAACTTCAATAATTGGTTACCCTTAAACCATATTCAAAAGAGATGCCTAAAATACGTGGAATTCATTAATTTACCATCTTATGTCAATTAATGATATAATTTAATTACAATAATTATTCTCAATTAATAATAATCTAATTATCTTGAGATATTTTATATTATCCTAAAAGAACACTATTTGATTGTTTAAATAATATTAAATCAATATTTAATAATACATTTACTTTTAGAATTAATTATGTCTAAAAAGAATTTATATTAAATTACTCATAAATATACTTTATCATACTCTATTAGATATTTTTTGTACATTCCTTATTTGAATAATTCAAATGGAATTGTTTATTTATATCCATAAGATAATCCAGCACCCCATGTAGTAAATAACACAAATATTGATAATGGTTTTTTCACAAATGAAAGTCTACCCTTTCTATAAAAATCATAAAAGATTCTTCTTTTGCTCAATAGTAATTTATAAAATAACAATGAAGCAACTGTGCAACCTGCAGTAGCATTAACTAAACTTAACATTGTATCATTTGTCACTTTATCAATTTTTTCTTTGTCAACCTTTTAGAATAAGTATTATACCTATAATAATGCAGGATGATTGACAATAAGATTAGACTTATCAGAAGGTTAAAGCATCATATATCTTTTAAAATATTATTCAATTATAGCTTTATTTGTGATTTTGGCATTTGGATTATTAGTCTTGATTTCCTATATAAGTACTTCTCTCCAATCTTTCTATTCCCATCTATATTAAAAAATAATTGATTACAATTTAGCATATGGAGATGTATATTTTTATGAATCCATAAATATATATAATAATTAAATATTTAATAATTCAGTTACTTATGAGTGGTATCAAACCATAAACTGTTAAGATTGTATCTAGACTAAGAAATGGATATTAACAAGAAAAAAATCAATAGGATGCTAATAAGATATAAACAAATTTAATTGAACATTATGATGCTAGAGATTTAAGATTATAAGATTTATAGGATTGCTAAAAAGTTTATTAGGTGATCAAAAAGGAGACTACTACAAAATGGATTCTATTATCTAAATTGGAAGAATGCAAATCATAAATAAAATTAGAATTATAATATTTAAGAAAATTAGTGATTTATGTTTAGAATAACAATAATTAAGGTTTAAATTAATCATAATAATATGAATTAAATTAATTATAGACACTCTTAAATATCTTTGATACTTATATTGATTAAATTGAAAATAACACTTGTGATAGAAAAGATAAACTAAAGTGTATAAAATCTATTGAATTTGAGGATAAATAAAAAACAATAAATGAATGGAAAAAATGGATAAATAAAAATGAAATTCTCATTTAACCATCAATTTCTGAATAGAAATAGATCACTTTAAAAGTTTTAGAGGAAGTTCTTACATAATCTTATGAACTTAAATTAAAATTATTATAAGAATCTGATATTATTAATTCTGATAGTACATTGATATACTAAAATTAGATTTAAGATCTAAGAAAGAAATTAAATCTTGATTAATATAAGAGAAGTAGAAATCAATTTGATGAATTTCAATAAATGTAATCATTTATTTATCAACTATTAGTATAGATAATTTTAATTATCATATACCTAATCATTAAGATATGAATCAATTAAATTTATCTCAATTAAAGGAAATCAAAAGATAACTTAAAAATAAGTCAAAATCTAATATTTATCAAATAAATCCAACCAAGTCTTCTCCAAAAAAAGAAGAATCTGTTAATTAGTAAAATGAAGTTGATCGATTTTTAAATCAATATTAGAAGTAATAATATTAGTAAATTATAAAAGAGAAAAATAAAGAATAAGTAAAGTTGACAAAACAAAATATAAATAAAATATAAAAGAATCTTAGAGAGAGGTTTTTATAGCAAGAACAAATCAAAGTTCAATCTAGAAATTACATTAGAGTTTTGAAATCAATAAATTAAATACAAGTAAAGGACATAGAGAATATCTTATTTCAATGATTGATGGATAATTGTTAAAACCTTATACTCCTTTAGTTAGATTAAAAAAAGATGAATCCAAAGAAACATGCCAAAATTCTCGTATTAATGATATCTAATCTTAAAAATTTAGTTTGAGAAATACATCTCCTTAATCATTTTTTGAAAGAATATCTTAAAAGATAAATGATGTTACTACTTGTGAATAAGATGAACTTTCTTCAAAATTAGAATTTCCTGAACTTTAAATGTAAAGATAATAATTCTATATCAATAAGGATAATCATAAGGTTGTTAAATAATAATACAATCAAAAATTTATTAAAAAAATTAATAACAATGAAGTTAAATTAGTGAAATAATGTTAAGGTAATAATTGATATATTTATTAAGATTTCTATACAACTAGAATGAAATTTAATGATAAATTCACTGAATTAGTAACTACATTGTAAAAGGATCGTCCTTTAACTTCAAGTATTAGATCTAGATCTTTAACAGTTAATTAAAATCAGAGATAAGAGAATATATAAAAATTAAGAAAGGTTGCAGAAAAGGCTCGTTAGAATTTCTTTTTTCGAAATAAGGAATAAAGATAATGGCATTATGAACTGGTTTAATAATATAAATAAACTGGTCCAACAAGCTAATACATTCTTGAATAATTTTAATACATTCTCTAGGGTATTTGTAATTAAAATATATAGAGGGATTATTTATCTAATTAGATGATATCATCAATATGTTAAAACAAATTGAAGATTCTCCAGAATTAAATATAACTATTAAAAGTTATCAACTTTTAAATGAAATATTCATCTAATTTGGAATATCAATTTCTCAATTAAATTAATATAAGAAATTAAAAAAATTTAATAATAATCTTGAATGATTTATTAATTAATTAAATAATTTAGTATATTAAATTAATCATCTTTCAATTTACATTGCAATAGCCATTTGTGATTCATTACGATTGTATTCATCATAATCTAATTCAATTGTATTATTTTCCTCCTTTTTTATTATTAAGATATCTTTAAATGAATTATTCTTTTATTCTAATTTATATCCTTTATTTTTAGCTACAAATAAAAGAGCAGCAAATAATTTACTCTTACTAATTTTTTCATTCATTATTAAAGGTAAAGTTTTTTCAATTTTGATGAATTCAACTTATCCCTTAATTTCATCAATAACTCTTTCCAAAATAATTTACAATTATTTAATTGTAATTGGTTCATTATTATTATTAGCTTATACTCTAAAAGGCAATATATAGTGATCTAAATCATTTGAATAGTTTTCTATCATATAATTTGTCTCTTCTAATTATACTTAAATTTAAAATTCATCTAATCCAAAATTATCTGATCCAACTATTGGAATTGCTTATTATTATTATTCTTCTTCTTATAAAAATCCAGTATATTCCCTTGTAAAATATTCAAAATATCTATAATAATCAAAATCTTAACAATTATCAGCTAAACATTTTAATGTTAATTCTCTCTAACCAAAATCTCTTTAATTATTTCCAACAGTATTTAAAATAAGAAATCTATTTAATTCTGATGCATCATCAAAATTAAATGTATCTGGATATATTTTCTTTTATTTCTTCTTAACATTTGTTTATTATTATTAAACTGGTTATTATTAATTATTATTTTTTTATTATTATTATTATTATTATTATTATTCATAAGGTGCTAAATCTTAATCAAATTCTTCTTCTTCCTATTCTAAATCCCATTCATCTATTGGAACATTCACATCATTAAATATATCTTGAAATTGCTATTAATAACTAAGTTATTTCATTTCTTCTGATATTTATTTTTCAACTGTTTCCTTTTATTATTTTTAAATTTGTTCTTATAGAATCTTTTTCTTTTCTTGTTATATTTAGAATTGTTCAAATTGTAATTATTTCTTTTCCTAATTTAATTATTAAATTTCATTTATTTAATCAATAGCATAAGGATCAGGTAAAAGCTCAGGTAATTAATTATTGAATTCTTCAACATCCATTTAATTAAGTTGAATATCAACCTATTGATTTTCAAATTATTATTATTATTAAGGTTATGAATCAATATTCAATTATGCAATTTTCTTTCTTAAAAGTGCATCTTATTAATCAATATCTATTTCTGTTTGATTAATTTTTAATTATTATTAATATTATTAATTCAAATTTATAAATTATTATTCTTCAACACTTAATTAAGATAAAGATTATTATTATTAATCTATTGTTTATTATGCTTATTTTAATTTTTCATCATATACACGAAAATCATTAATAAATTTATCAATAGCAATTTATTATTTTTTTTCCAATTTAACAGATTAAGTATCTTTTTTATTTATTAAATATTTATATCTTTCTCTAAAATCATTTATTTCATTAAAACTCATTTTGAATTATTTAGACATTAAATTAGAATAATCTAAGACTGATGTATCTATTTCCAATTTAATAAACCCTGTTAAAATATTCTTATTTTATTCATTTACTTTTAATAATTAATCAGGATCTATAATAATTGCTAGATTCTCATCAAATTTAGGATTATAAATAATTAATGTATTCAAATCCTGCATATCTAAAGATTTACTTGTTTGATTAAAGAATGGATTAATTTAAAGTGTATCATATTGATGTGTATAAGGTTTAAAATCAAGAGTTGATTCACCATATTTAGTTATTTCTTTAAGTTCCACATTTCGATTAAGATGAATAGTTTTTTATGGTATTTATTGAATTTATTATTGTTTGCTTTTCTTTAAAGGTGGAGCATTAGGAATAGTAGATGTATCATATGCTCTTAATAAATTAACTTTTAACTTTAAACTTTCCACATAAGTTCTATCTACTCTATTAGAATAAAGCCAAGCCAAGGCATCCAAATATAAAGCACTTTTATTCATATCATCTACATCAATTAATCTAATTTAATTGCCAATATCAAAATCAAAGACTTTTTCTGACAATCCTTTTTACATACATTTAAGTATCTCATTAAGAATTTCATTTTATTCATCATCTGAATCATCACTATTTTCTTGTTTATTAGGTTAATTTATCTATATATCTATTTCTTCTTCTTGATGTGTTTTGAGATCAGAGAGATATTATTATAATTTTGACATTGAATAGATTATCAAAATTCTGAACATTAAAGCTCAAAAAATCATTAAAATATTTATAGAACTGATAATTTCAAATACAATGAATAAATAATACATACCAGCTAAAGCTTAAGAAAAAATATTTGGTTTAATTCTAAAAAGACCTGAAAATTTAAATTGTGCTGACTGTGCAACAAAAGGACCTAGATGGGTTAGCTTAGATTATGGAATTTTTATATGTATGGATTGTGCAGGTTTAATATAATTTTCATTTATAAGGAGCTCATCGAACATTAGGTCCTAGTGTTACAAGAGTAAGATCAACCAATATTGATGGATGGTATTAAGAAAATATTGATATTATGGAATCTATTGGTAATGGAACAGCAAATTCATATTGGGAAAATAAAATGCCAAAAGATTTTATGTAAATGATTATAAATAACAATTTTATAGCAAACCTACTATTAATTAAGGTCTAGATTCATTAATTAGATTTGTATAAGAGAAATATGTCAAAAAGAGATTTATACCTTAAATATCTTGTCCTGATCCTAAACAATAATATATTCTAACTAAAACGTAATATTTATATTATATTCTCAATTAGAACAGTCAAACCCTTTTATTTTAATCAATAAGAAATTAAAATAGAAGAATCTAAAGTAAAATTGGGTGATTTGATAGATTTCGAAGATGACTTTTTTGGAGTCAAAAAACCGATTGTATAAGTAGAAGAAAACTAAGGATAAAATACTCATTAAGGTACTACACGTTCATTGTCACCTGAAAAAGATTTCACTGAATTTGTACAATCAACTCCTAATATTAATCAACCTATCCATTCATTACCTTCTTTAGATATACTTACACTCTACAAATCAGAATCTTAATAAACATAATAATCATAATAAATAATACCAAATAAAAATTCAAATTATGCTTATTTATCTAATATGGGATAATAATAAAATAATGGATTTTATAATTAACAATTAAATTATTAACAACATCTTTATTAGTAATAATAATAATAATAATAATAATTCCATTATTAATAATAATAACCAATTTAATCAAATGGCCCTATCAATATTATGGATTTATATTCAAAATGATATTTATTTAGATATTTATTTAGATAATAATTTCGAAAATTATTATAGATCAATAGATAGATTTTTAATCGAATTCCAATTCATTTCTTTCTACACATTGCACAATAAAATGTCATATCTTATGCTAATTATGCTTAAACACCAGCGCATTCATAATGTAACCATTTAGAACATTTGTCACATTAAATATATGATTTATCAGGATTTGATATTTAATTACAAATACAAATTCTTGTCCATTTTGAAATAGGAGGAGTAAATTTATCCTTCTCTACATTATAATCAGCTCTTGTAAAATATGTTCTTTCATTTTAAATTGTCATTTCCTCATATTCCTTTATTGATATTAACTTTATTTCATGATCAATCTAAGTGCAAAACAACCACTCCTCTATCTCTGATTAAAATAGTTCAAATTCACTTATTCCTTCTTATAATTCCTTTAATTTTTAGGGTAATTCCAATTTATTAATATACTTTTACACTTTGATCATGGGTATCAAATATTCATCCACTTATAAATTACAAAATCCTATCAATTTTCCATATGTTTTCTTGTCTCTATTACCATCTACAGACAATTATATTATTTATCCAATTGAATAAATTATCCCATCATATTTCATTTTCGAGTATGATTTCACTAAACCCAATTATGTTCCAGCATCAACTAATTCTTTATACTAATATTTGTTTAATACTAATACCTTTTTTGAATATAATAACTATTTTATGACTTAGTCGTTGACTTAATTAGCCTCCATTTTTATTAATTAAATAGAAAATTAAGGGTGGGAAATATTAATTTTTTTTATAATTATTAAATTTTTCACAATTATTCCCAACTTTTAAGTTTAATTCAATTCTTATTATTTTTATTCTGTCTTCTACTATTACTTTGGATTTTAGTCAATTATCATAAATAATATGTAATTATAATTAATACTCTTTAATATAATTTTTATTAAAAACAAAAACTAAATATATACATTAATATATAGACAATAATTAGATTATATGTTCTAAATAACCTTTTATTTCTCCCATTAAATAGAATTTACTAATACCATTTTAGATTGAAGACAAAATAATGAATTAATTTTATGTAAAAATTCAAATCTATTTTAATACTTGCTGGTTTATATTAAATAATTATTATTATAATCTCATTTTGATATATAGAAAAGGATAATATCTATTTAGATAAAGTAGTTTTGTTTTTATCATCAAATAATAATAAGTTAAAATTCAAACTGTTTTAATAAAAAAATTAATAATAGAAATGAAAATACATTAAATTTTAATTGGGATAAAGTAAATAAAATTATTAAATTTATTCTTTTTATATTGAGAGAATATTTTAGAAATAATTCATTTTTTTCATATATAATTAAAAGTATTTATATTCAGTTATCCAATTATTAATATACAAAATTACAAATATATAAATCGTCTTAATTAAATTAAAATAATTTTGATATATATTCATGATATTATATACTTATTTTGAATAAATACATATGATTGTTAATGTAGATAAATAATTTATAAAATAAATTTAATCATTAACTATGTTTTTTAATTATAATAGTAATAGTAATTTTGAATTAATAAAATCTATTTAGTTCAGAAATTAAAAAAATTTATGATTGGGAATGTTAATATTTTATATTAATTATTCTTTTCAAACTCTTTATTGAGGCTAAGTCATTTCACTTCTTTAATTTTAGTTTGTTTAAGTTCTATGTGTAACATTCTATTCAGTCATTGTTAATTAATTTTGATTACGTTCCCATCTTACTCCATCTCCTTTTGGTCTTCCGCTTTCTCCGAACATTGGAAAAGGCCAGAGCCAAGGATTAGTTCCCATTACTTGTAACCAATTTTCTTTGATACTGAAATATATTTATATATTGAAATTGTTTACCCAATATCATAACCATTCAAAGTAGTTTATGATGAATTTCCATTTCTTCTAACTTCTAAAGTGTCTATAGTTGTTTTATTAGTTGAAACTAAATCTAAATGAAATAGAAAGAAATTGAATATAACTCCTCCAAATACAAGAATAATTATTGCTCTATTATGTTTTAATTTGTTACAGTAAGAGAGTAGGGATAACATTAAAATCCTCTATTAGAAGTCTCCAATCTACAAATATAAGATCCATTATTATTGGATAAACTCTAAAAGCTGTAATAACAATGCTAAATAAGACTGATAAATTTATATAGAGGAGAAACAATATAAAAAACTTTCTATTTTGATATCCTACACAATTTCCAATCCAAGGACAATGATGATCCATATTTAAAACACATCTTTAACAACTTTTGAAATATTTATAAAATAGTTACGTTGAACAATGATGGCAACGTTCAGGTTTAAAAATATGGCAAATTAAACAATATCGTCTTTTCTTTTATTCTTAATCATCTAATAAAACTCCCCAATAAATGGGAACCTTAATTTTATATAGAAAATACTTTGCCAGGATCGCTAATAATACATCTGACCATTGACCATACAACCATCATATAAAATATTTATAATGGAATCCAAAGTATTTGTATGATTTAGGTATATTCAGATGAGTATGGATTTATTAATGTTAAGTAAACCATCCATACATAAATACATATGATAAAAAAGAATACTCCAAGTAAATAGTTGTTGTTTAATATTTTCTACATTTGAATCTCTCTATACATTTTATTATATATATATTTTATATATATAAAATATTATTTAAAAAAGTAAATACAAAAATTTATAAAATCTATTTTTATGAGTTTTGAACCATATTAAGAAACTAAAAAGACAGTAAAAGTAGCTCCAATTAGAATTGTTCAAAATTAACATGAATAAAATGGCTCTTAAAATCAAACAATTAAATATCCATAACTTAATTTATAATTCTAATTTTAAAAATGTTTCACTCCAGCTGTCACTATACCTTTAAGCTTTTTATAATAGCTTATTTAATAAGCATAGTCAAACAAGGTTCTAAATTAGATTGGAGAAACTAAAATTATTAAATAAGAATAATCAGAAGCTGTTAATAATCTCATTACATAAATCTAATATTAAAAATAAGGAATTTCAAAATCATAAGATAGTAATGAAGAATCTTTAATAAAGTTATATTTAATTAAGTGTCAAATGAAATTTATTACTGAAGATACAATGTCTATAGAAAAAGTAAAATTATATTTTGCAGATAACTAAAATTTACTGCCTCATTTCTGGGCCTGGATTAATTCAATTGAAGTTAAAGCTTTAGAAGAAATGCTTATGTTATGTTATTCTAATCCATCAAATACTAAAAGAATTTAAGATATTTTCAAATCTCTTTTTTAAACTTTGTCAATTGAATTTTTTTAAAAACATGCATATGCCTTAGTTTTAAGATCAAATTTATAAGATAAAATTAAGTATTTATCAGTAATAGGTGATATATTAAGTAAAATAGTGAACCCTTAGGATTATTTCTATTTTAATAAGTAGTGATTTATGTAAAATATTAATGCGTATATGTATTATAACACAATAATCAATTTTTTATGATTTTCTTTATTAATTCATAAGCCATATTATTATCCATAATTAATCTCTCTCTATCTTTTGTGACAATATGATATTCTACTTAGGCTTTTTTAAATTATTGATAAGCAAAAACACAAAACAACCAATTAAAAGCCAAAAATAAAATTTGTAATGTAATAAAAGTTCCTACCTCCTCTTCAAATACCTATATTTGATATAATTTTATACAGATTATATTGTATTAAAATATGAAATAATTACTATTGTAGCAATTGTTCTGAAAGCTAAGCTAATTCCTAAACTAATAGGGAATAAATGTAAGATCTAAATGTATTTTATATATCAATTACCTTTTATGATTTTTAATAAATTCCATAATACCCAATTATAGAAGCAACAATTGTACATAATTGAGCAATATTTTAAGGAATCAATATTGTTTCTAATTTTCTAGCCTATTCTCTATTAGATAAATTTTAATCTGTTAAATAAGTTCTAATTCTAAAGATTTATGAATTGCTTTCAAGAGTGATAGCAGAAAATAAACTAAATACTGCTAATCCCAATAAACATGAATTTAAAGTAAAGAATATTACTTTTCTTCTATCAAATGAAAACCTATTTTTAATGATCTATTTCAATTCTGATAATTCTAATTGTTTGGATAAAACTGGTGATTCCATAAATTATATTTTAATTATATAATATAAATATCATTTTCCTTATTGTTTTTCCTCCTCCTCTTCATTTATCGGAAGTAAGGGATTACTAGTTTAAAATTCCCTTGTATCTCTTCTCTAAATTCTATTAATATATATTATACATAATCATTTCTTCCTTATTATTAATTTAAGGTAATAATCAAATCTCTTAATTGATTTTAGTTAATTCTTTTTTCATTATCACCAAAATGTACTTAAGGAGATGTTGATTTAAAATAAGAAGTACCTTAACCTACAGTACTTAATTATAGATCCCATATTTCTATAAGATCAATCTAAATAAAAAAATCAATCAAAATACTTACATTAAGTAAATGTATATCATCAGGTAATATTGAACCACTTTAAAATGTTTTATCATCTTCCACTAATCTACTTGCCTAGAGTTATTTCCCATCTATCCATATTCTATGATGATCATATCCACTACCTCCTATACCTAAACCTGGTTATTTTGGACCCTATTTTAGGGGTGAATGAAGTGTTTAACTTTATCTTTTTGTAATGATTGGAACTAATAAAGCAAATTTACTTTATTGTTAACCATTAGTTGAAAAGATTTTAAATTTAGGATGGATAGAGAATATAAATGATCCTTTATTTCCTGAAATATCAGGAGACACTCTCCATTAAGAAGGAGAGAAATATCCAAATACATATTTTTCTTATTTTTCTCCATCTTTATCTTTTTAAGAATGTCTAAATAAAATCATATTTGGTCCTTTAGCTTAAAGTAAACAATTTCCTAAGATATTAAAATTATATTATTATCCACTTTCGACCTCATATTTATAAATTTAATTAATTGCAATACACTTTTAAAACCATGGTACACTTAAATTAAGTAAAGCTTAATTTATATAATATTTATTACCTATCAATTATTTATTCATAAGTTCACTAGGATCTAATTTTGGTAATGTATTTCTTAATGTTTTATTAACGAATTTTCCTGCTATATAATTTTTTACTATTTTGCAAATAAAAGGAGTTTCTGATTTAATTTTATCATTAAAAGCTTTATAATTCAATAAGGAATGATCTTATTAAATTAATATTAAATTGTCTTACTTTCAAATATGTTGTTTATAATTAAAATTGGGGCTTAATCGTCATCATGACATAAAATATCTCCTTTATCACTTTACATGTTTATAAGTTCCTAAAATAAAAAGATATAGATTACTTTAAATAGCTTTACTGCATTTGAATAGCTAACACTTATCTTATAGACATTATTTAAATTGAATGCATCTCTTTACATTATGTCAGGACTTGATAAAGAGACTAAAGTAAATAATGTATATATATCTAAGTTCTTCAATTAATTTTACAACTTCATTGATACTCTTGTAAATAAATCCACTAAAATTATACTTTTAGTATACCAACTGTGAGAAATGTGAGATTATCTACATAATTTTAACCTCCATAGTTTCTCATAAATATATAGAGCTTTTATGCTAACACAGGATTCTCAGTAAAATATTGTTTAAAGCCTTCGAAACTAAAATACTCATCTGTTTTCCTGTTATAAAAATTATAAATACCCTGGTTTTTATTTTGTCATCTTACTAAATTTTTTTAGTGCATAATCATAGTCGCTTTAAGAGAATCCTACTTTTTCTCTTAATTCTTTTTCTCGAGATCCACAACCTCCCATTACAAATTTTATATATAATATTTATTTACTATTAAAAATGTAAATCAATTTAGTAAGATGAGTAATTTATTCTCATTTTTTAAATTAATTAACTGTACTCTATCCCATAGAAGAACATCCATCATCAGCCATCTCCTTAATTTCTTAATTTAATAATTAAATCTTACCACTCATATTTAAAATCACTCCATTTTAATGTTATTATTCTGAAATTTATTTAATTTCCATCTTTATTGAATCTAACATTTTACTTAAATCATTTTTTCCAGCAGTCATTGTAAAATCAATACAACATTTAGGTTAATTAAGAGGAGGATGAACATTCTTGTGATTATCTTATAATTTACTTTTTTAGTTTTAAATATTATTAGTCTACTTTTCTTTTGATCCTAATCTTTTTTTCTTGATATTTTGAATTACATACATTTAATGATGATTCTCTTTATGAAGATAATTGGTCATCAATCCAATTAAATTATTTAGTATGAGTATCTGCTGTAGACAAATTCTAATTGCTACTATTTCTTTAAGACCGTTCTCCTGTTAAAGTACCTCTTGCTGAAGTTATTACTTGTTCTTATTTCATCATAATAATTTTTTTATCAATTTTTATTGGAGGTTTCTATTATTAGGATGGACTTTTCTAAATGAATTTTATTCAATAGGTTTACAATTATAGGTAATTATTGAGTTGAACATGTTTTAAGTGAATTATTGCTTAATTATCTTGGTTTCATATGTTATTCAGGTTCTTTAATAATCATTCTTTAATTCCCAGAATTCCCAGGTTTTCTCAAAGGCAAAGGAGATTTCTTTGTTGAAATTGGTTATCCAGAACCTGGTCTTTTTCTTATAAGTTCTTATTCAACTTAATTCAATATATTAACTTCTGAACTCATATGATTTTTTGATATTTCTCTTTTAGTTAAAGACATGAAAGAAAATTATAAAAATTATAAACTAAATAAAGTATAAAATAAAATTCTTTTTATTTATTAGTGTATAATAAAATTTAATAACTTGTTTTTTTAATGGTTTCTGCATATTCTATAGGAACTGCAAAAAGGGATAGTCCTATCAAAAATTTAGTTCCAGCCCCAAATACTTACTCATTAAATAATTAACCAACCTCTCCTTAATGGACGTATAATAATAATCAATAATTAATAGAATTGGAGGAAAAGTAAAGAGAGAAATAAGAATTAAATCATGCACTCCTGGACCAGGTTAATATCCTTAAAAATCTTTAATCAATGGTGCACCTTGTTGTACAATTAAAGGTAGACTTAAAGAGAAAGTTATTTCATAATCTCCTGGACCAGGGAATTACAAAGAAGAATAATTCTTAACTGTTCAAAAAAGAATCCCTTCATATAGTATGGGTGTAAAGATTGATAAAATTATCAAAAATTTTGTTCCAGGTCCTGGAACTTATGATTTAAATTAGACTTATTAAACAACAATTTCGAGTAAATTTCCTATTGAAAAAAGAATAAAAACTATGGAAGATGGATATAATTCACCAGGACCAGGATGTATACTTTAATAATTATATTAGAATACAATCTCACAAACCATAATAAATTTTCACCACATAAATCATAACCTTCATGGGGATTTGGATCAAAGAATAACTTTAAAATGCATTAATCATTAGATATGGGTTCCCCTGGTCCAGGAATGTATGAATTAAAAAGTACATTGACACAATAGAGTTTCACACTAAAACCAAAATTAAAAACTTAAGAATGTGATAAATCAATACCAGGACCGGGTAAATATTCTCCTGATGTATCTTTTATTAAATCTTCATAACCTGTATTCAAAATGGGAAAAGAGCCTAGAATTCCATCATAAAAAATTACCAAAGATCCTGGACCTGGAAGATATTATTATGAGTAATTTTAATTATTATTTTTATTTTAGGAATTATGATGTAAGAAGTAAGAAAACATAACCTTGTTACAGTTTAAGTAAAGCAAATAGAATATCAATGGCTGAAAATGAATCATAATTTGTGCCTGGACCAGGAGCATATGATGTCCCTCCTTAAAAATTAGGTAATATTACACTAAAAGGAGTAAAACCTTATATGAGACCTCAGACTATACCAGGACCAGGTTATATTAAATTTAATAATAGGAACTTATAATCCATAAGATAAATTATGTTATTCTTATGATGGATCTGTTAAGATAGTTTAGGATATTAAATAGAACAAGGCTTAACCATCTGAAAAAATTCCAGGACCTGGTGCATATGAATTTAAATCTATTTTAATGGGACCAAGTTGGGGATTTGGTAAACCAAATAAAAGAAAACCAATTTATAATATAAATAACAGTCCAGGGCCTGCTGCTTATGATGTACCATCTAAATTTGCTGATGTTCCAAAGTACTTAAATTGTAAACCTAAATTCTAAGTTTGAATTATTTTATATGTACCAAAACGATTTCTATTAATAAAATAGTATCAATCAGAAATATATATAATTTAACTTAAATGTATTTTTATGAATTATTTTATAAATTTTGAGAGAAAGATCAATTATGCAACAATTTTTGAATCAATTTAAAGATATTATCAATGTCAATGATATTATCCAGAAGGATGAAAATACTGCAATAGGATAAATTTACCTTTATAACTAATTTTCTGATGAATTCTCTGATTTAATAGAAAAATTTACAACGACATAAAGCATATGTGGTTTCACATCAGTTGGAAATGCAATAGCTTTAAAATAAGTAGGATCTTAAATTGGATATGTTTAAGCCATTTAGCATTTAAAGAAAAACTCTTAATTGAGAAGAAAATATGTATAAGATGCTATGATTTATATTTAAAATTGTAGAAGAAAATACATTTAATAGAGTTAATGGTTAAGTTAAAATTAGAAAGATGCTAATAACTATTTGAAGGATTGGGTAGCTAATTTTGAAATAAGTGATTATTTAAGAGAGAAGAAATTTGAAAATATCTATTTTATTAGAAATGTGTCTTGGGATCATCCTGAATTAATGGATAATATTAAATATGAAGAGAAAGATAGAATACAAGAAGAAATACCCTTTAAAGGAGAGATTTTCTTTATAGATTATGGATTTACAAAATAATATATTAGAAAGAAAGACTTTGAATATTCATCTTAACATGTTTATGTTATTGACATTTTGGGTCATTTCATTTGTAGTGTAGTTTTAGAAGATAAAGGAAAAAAGTTAATTTTATTGTTAGAAACTATGGAAAACAATAGGCTTAATAACCAAACTATTAAGCAATTTTTTAAGATTTGATATTTTATCAAATTTATATATATATTATTAATTCACACAATTATTTATTTGATTAAATTAATTAGACTAATTATTAGGATTGGTATAATTGCTTAATATTAGATAGATTTTGATGGTTATTAATCATTGGTTATATCATTTAAAATAATTGTTAATTGTGTTAAACAATAAATGAAACATACTAAAATAAAGCATGGCCATATTATAGAAGTTACACAATCTGTAATGAGTGTGATTATATTATAGGATATGGCAAATAATAATAATGAAGTAACCCAAAACCAATTAAAATGTTATTGTAACTATATTAATGCTGTAATTTCAGTATAAATGATGGAAACATAATAAATTATAATGACTGCTACCCATTTTTTGGATCCATAATTATCATCGCATAATCCAGGTATAATGAAAATTAGGAAAGATAATAATAAAATCTTCCAAACAAATAGAGGTAAAAAAATTAGAATGGGATTCTAATTAATAAATCCATCTAGTTATAAACAAAGTAAGATTATAAAAATAGGCAATAATCCTAGAGTAGAATTTTAAGCTATTGCTAAAAATACTTTGGCAATTCTAGGATATTGCTATTAATCTAGTAAAATATATATTAAATACATAGCCATTTGCTACTTAAGATCCAAATGACAGAATCGCATAGGAAAAATATAAGTCCAATAATAATCCATTTGATCTAATATTCAATTCGAATTGCTATGATTTACAAAATTAAATAAATCGACAATGCTATGAATATACGTATACACTTAAATAGCATCTCTTCCTATTTTCTTCCGATTTCTGATTCGGATCCTTAGAAGTCATCTCGATCTTACATTATTCGTTTTTGTGAATAATATATTATTATATATTATTAATTCATATACCAAACATTTGTTTCTTTCCATTTCCAACAATCTTGGTTCCCTATTAAATAATTAAAAAAAGAAGATCTTATACATAATTCACAATAACTAAACTTAAAAAATTAATTAAATACTTAATCTGAATAAACTGAAATTCAGTTCACTTCATATAAAAATATAATTTCTGAAATCCATTATAATTCATTAAATTAATAATTCTATTTGCAAATCTTATCAAAATAATAATTATTTTGCAGTATATAAGTAAAACATATTTCATTTGAATTTATTAAGATTTATATCTCTCTTACATACTGGACAATGTTTTTCTCTGGACAGCCATTCTGAAATGCATTCTTAATGAAATACATGGCTACATTCTAATTCTATTTCAACTGGATTTCCACTATCTTCTAAACAAATAGTACAACTAAAATTTATAATCAATTATACCAATCATTAATTTGTTACTTTATTTTACATTATTTTAAAAGTAATTGAATTTAATTTTATAATAATCCTCTACTAACAAATCCCATTTTTTCTTATAATTCTTATAATTGTTCATAACTCATTTCATCAAGATCTACATTATTTTACATTCTAAAAAAATTATAATAAATATAAATAAATACTAAGCTAAACGATTTTAGAATTCCATCTCTTCTTGTTATTATAACATAAATGCTAAATGCATTGATTTCTCTTCTTCTGTCATTTCTTCTTAAATTTCATTTTATGATTTCTCAACTGAAACTTATTCTTAATTCTCCTCTTCTATTTAAGGATTTTTTTGATTATTTAATTGTTATTCTAATTCTTGAATTCTCTATTTTAATTCATTAACAGTGTTTTTTAAATCTTAATTCTCTTGGCGCAATTCATTTATTATGTCAGATTTAGATTACGCTTTCTAATTATGTTTTTATATTTATTAGACTGGAATCTTGAAGAGCTTATCAACAATTTCCTTTTATTCTGAAGAAGACTTCAATTAACTCAATTTGATTGGATTGTCCATATATTTTTAACAATAAATTTATTTATAATTTATTTCACTAAAATACTAGTTTATTAATATTATATTGAATGAACTAATAAATTAATCAAAATCATTTTGGAATGAAGATCTTAACTTCTCCATAATTTAAATATAATGTAAATTTCCCATTGGTAACTTTAATACAATCAGTGGTTGGATAAAAGATATTACATAGAGTTGTTCCTAAATTTATATATTTTAAATAGTTACCTTCAGCATATGGATGATAGGTGATAGTTTTGATTGTTTATCTATCATATTTACTTGAGAATGCAGCAAATAAAGTACCTCTTGTGAAGGCATAGATTTCTGAATCGGAATATCTTTAAATTTATTCTTGATTTCCTGCATTAGTAGCTTTACGTGCATTATTTATAGCTTAGATGTATTTATACATTTCAGATTATCTATTAATATATTTAAATTCTTACTAATCTAAATTACCCCATAAAACTTCTCTGTTTTATGGATCATTTCCACCTGCATAGAGTTATTCACTACCATAATAAATCATTGGAATTCCTATAGATGTCAAACAAAATGCAGTTATAGCCTTAAATTAAAGTTTCTTCAAAGCAGAGAAAGTTAAATGAGGTTTATCACTTAAAAATACTTCATCTGGAATATATCCTTAAATTTAATCATTTAAGAATCTTGCATTATCATGATTATCATTGAAATTACCAGCATATTAAATATTTTACTTACCCCATGAATTCATTAAACTATTATAATAATTTTCAAATGTATTCATATCTCTCCAATGTAGAAATACATCTCTTGCTGTATAGAAAAGAGGATAATTTAATAAAGCATCAACAGGACCAACAAATTATTTTAAGAAATTCATATCTCCATCAAATACTTCTCCAACTGTATAAACACCAGCAGCATTAGAGAATTTATACCAGAAATCAGTTTTAACCATCATAAGAGTATCAATTCTAAGTCCATCAAATTTAAATTCTTATACAAGCCATTTAATCCATTATAATAATTATTCAGTAACAAATTAATTATCTTAATTAAGATCTGCAAGACCTGCAAGTCTACATCTTTCAATATTATAAAGATTATGTGAGTTAAAATCATTGTCTGTAATATCACACCAATCATGATAATGAGAAGATTGATTAAATGGATTGTTTTAATTGTATACTGTATTTGTATTTCCCATCTAATATAAGATGAAATATTTACATGATTAGCTACAACATCAACCATAACCCATATATCTCTAGCATGACAAGCATTAACAAGAGCTTTCAAATCATCAGCAGAACCAAAATTATGATTTACATCATACATATTCCTTGCCCAATATCCATGATATCCACCATCATAATTATCTATAACAGGTGTAATCCAAATAGCATCAAATCCCAAATCTTAAAAATAGTATTATATTTACTTTAAATATAATCAAGTTATTGAATCATTCCTTAGTAATCACCTCCACAATAATTGCCTAAATTGCATGATGTTGATCTGCCTTAACTTGTAGCAAATCTATCAGTAAGCAATTGATAAACTGATCTACTCTTCCATTCATCTTTAGATTTACAATGGATGAGTACAACAAGAACAAACAAAGATAATAACAATCTCATGTATTAAATTTAATGATGTCATAAGAGTATTAATTTCTATGCCATATTTATATATAATATATTGCATCATTTATTAATTTTATAAAAATTATATATATTATTTTTATAAGAATTTCAGATTTTTAGATTAATATACAATAAAATAAATAAAAATCTATTGTTTTAAATATGAACTAATAAAATTTAACATATTATTTAATAATTCTAATCATATATATATATATTTGGTATAAATTATCATTACATTTGTAAATTTTTCTTTGCTTTTCGAACATCTCCATAAAATATATCTTTTGGAAATCTTTTTATAGCTCTCAATTTATTATATTGTAATCCAAATGAAAATTGCATTACATCTTCCTCTCTTGTTACATTTATTTAACTATAATTAAACTATTGTTTCGATACTCCAATTTTGTATCACTATAATCTTGAATCTATTAAAATACAGATCTTCTTAATGGAGTAACATCATCATAATTACTTCTTCGATTTCTCTATTAAAAATAATTGAATTAAGGATTTTCATCTATATTATTAGGAGTAGACAAACCCTTATTAATATTTCCTTTAATTAATAGTAATTATTACTTAAATAATTGTTTGTCTTTCTCATAATTTAATCCTATAGATCAGGTTAACTAGATTGTTTGGTTTGATTATAATCATAGATTTCTCTATAAACTATATATATTAGAGAGAAGAAACCTTCCTTAATTAACTTTAACTGCTTTTAATCGATTCCCTTTATTAGTTGTAATCCTATTATTTAAAGCATTTAATTTATTGTTCTAAATCTCAACCTTATCTACTCTATCAATCTTAATTTATACTTAAAAACATTTAGATGTCATTAGGATAAAATCGTTTATTAAAGTCATTCTGTTTATCAATTTCAGTTTTGATTCTTTGATGGGAAGTGACAGACTTTTTCGATTTATTTATTTCATGAACATCAATTGAAGTCTTCAAATAATTATTAGATCGATTAGCATTATCTATAAAATGTTATATTATGAAACAAAACTTCTAAAAATATTCACAACTTTAGGTTAACTTTAGTTTTTATGAGTGTAATTTTAATACAATTTGTTTGGTGAATCTCCAACTCTACATTTATTTGCACTTTATGATTTTCTACAATCTTTATTAACTGCTAGCTCAAGAGGAAATTGATATTACATTATAAAATTAATGATTAAGTTTATTATAATATAAAAAAAAATATTACTTATTCTTAAATAATATCATTTTTCAATTTAACTTATTTTAAAAGAATTCAATTATCTTTTCTCTTTATGTTTTTTAAGTAGCATTTTCTAGTTTATTTTATGGATATTCATTTGATAATATATTTAAATATTATCCTATACCATCAATAAATCTATTATTTTCATACTTAATCTATTTACTTATAATCTTCAAATAATTGTTGTCCATTGAAAATAGATCCAGTTAAAACTTATTCTTTATTTTATCTATTTCCAATCATTTAACTGATTTATTATTATAATTGTTGATTTTATTAAGTATTAATATTTTCCAAAATATTTGTAGATGAATTATTACTCAAAGGATCTAATTATTATAAAAATGTTTCATTTGATCCAGAATTAAAAGTTCGAACTTCTAAATTATAGTGTTCTAATAAATTCAAAATATTTAATGTTTATATTTATGTTCCCACAGCACCAACAATTGAAGTCTTATTACAAAATATTTTATCTCCCATACACAATAAATAAAATGCACCTGATAATGCATAGTCTTCTGCAAATGTATATAATGGAATATTGTATTTTTTTCTAACTAAGTCAAATTTTCTTTATATTATATGAGTATGTGATAGACTACCTCCAGTTGAATTAATGATTAAAGCTATTGCCTTAGAATTTTCTGGGTTAAATTTTTTTAATGCTTTATAAACTTTATAAGTCCTAACTATTTTTCTTGAAATCTTACATAGAACTTGTTATTTAACCTTATAGATAAAAATATGAGACCTTTTTATATTTTTCTGTGTCTTTTCCAATTAATTTTAAGAATTTATACATTTAAATATATTATAATTTTCATTCATTTAATTATGTTACTAAAGCAGTTCCTCTCTTAACCCAATGACTGACACTTAATTATGTTTTGATAGGTATGGAAATAATCTTAAATATATGAATAATAAAAATACGAAATTAGTAGAATGTCCTGTTGTTGATAAAGTACCTCTTCTATCAAGTGTTTTATAGACAGGACAAATATAATCTTCTTGATTCTCAATAAAATTCTATTTAGGCAAGAGTTATATCTAAGATTATATTTAAAATTATACCTTTGGGAAATTTTAATAGATTACTCCATTAATAGGTTCATCTATTACTTATTCTTCTTAATTCCATTTACCACTTTCTAAATATAATCCATTAATTATAATTCCTTCTTCTTCTTCTTTAACATCAATTTTAAAATCAAATTTTAATTAATCTATAGGTATTTTATGTTTTCTTGCATGATTTTATAATACTCCTGTAAAGAAAGATTATGTGAAATAAAATCCAGGTAACCAAAATACAGTTGGAGTTCCCTATTATATCCATTTATTGAACATATCTACACGTAATTATAAATCTTATAAATAATTATTTAAACTCTTTAAAGATGGATATGATTTCTATTTCCATAATTCTGGTAATATATTATTAATTAAACATTCTCCCATTTTTTCTAATTATTAACTCATAACAATCAAACCTTAAGCAGCTTTAATCAAATCTTATAATGATTTTGATAAAATATTTAATAAATTATTGTATCTCAATACTTCTTACAATAATACAGTATTCATGCTTTCATAATAATCAATTTTGAATTTCTCTTAAACAACATTAATATCAAATTATTTAGGAATAAGAATAAGTAAACTTTGAGCTTTTTCTAATAATAATTTATTTTTATCAATATTTTCTTCAGCTCCTTATTCAACTAATCCTACATCTAATAAACATGTTAAAATATTCTTTGTTTCCAATTAAGCTTAAGTAATTGATGCATTAGAATGTAAACCAAATAATTCTGGTGATGAAGTATCAGGTAATTAATTAATAAAATCAATAGCCTATTCTAATGTATTTAAATGTTAAGCTTCTGGTATACAATATTCTTGAATAGAACTAAATTTATAATTTTCATAAAAGATATCCATCCTATAAAATGTTGTTAATAGAACTCTTAAACATCTTCTATCCCAATCATCAGTAACTTTTCCACCATAATAACATTCACCAGTTAAATAAATTAAGGCTGTAAATGGAATTTCTTAATAATCCATAAGCATTTATTTCAATTAACGAATAGATATTCTAAAATCAGAATCAT